GACTTCATTTGGGCAGTTCCCTGGACTTCAGTCCAGGTCCAAAGCTCCCTAAACAACATGGTACACAAAAGCAAGCACTAACTTACCTGCAAATCACTTGACAAGTCCTTCACGTTGTCTTCTGAGAGCTTCTTTTCCTGCAACAAAATGTTGAAGATAAGTAAAAACTACTTGAAGTGAAAGAGAAGGATATAAGTAGAGTAAGAGAGAAAATGCAGCAAAGAGGCAATAACAAGACTTGCATTGAGAGTAAGGTGATCTAAGGAGTCATACCTTCTCAAGTTTTTCGTAGGCTTTTAAAGCATCTCTTCTTATATTCCTCAATGCAACCTGAAATGGTTGATCAGGCAAGATTATTCAAGAGCACAATTCAGCAACTTTATTGTCCTAAAGTTTTGATATATTGTATCTTATAAACAAATAATTTAAAATGCATGTATATAGTTTGTTTTCTATTACCATGATCAAACTTAATCAATTACCATTCCATGTCTTAGAAATGGATTTTAAGCCATTTCATTTTCCCATTTTTCACCCAGATCTAAAAAATTTAGATCAAAATGTTATATATTTAAGAAAACGTTTCCTTGTTGAGTTCTTTGATATCTGTCAATCCCTGAACGTGCAGACACAGAGATCATGAAAACCCTACAGAACTTCTATATGAAGGATCATTTACAAAGTTGAGTGAATTTGCAAACCACGGGTATAAGCATGAGTACCTTTCCTTCTTCAGCCTGTTTGGCCACAACTTTTGATAATTCCTGCAATTTATCAATAAATTCCATAATCTCAGTTTTTAGAATGACATCGAACGAACTTATAGTGATCACTTATATATTTAGAGAACAATATGCTTCAATATTAATCACAAAATATCTAGAAAAAAATAATTAATTTAGCATGGATGTTGTCACTGTATCAGCTTTAGAAAAGAATGTCTTGCTAAAACTACTGTTAGGAACATAGAGTGCTACTTATAATGTGTTCTTTAACATGTATGTGAGATCCATGAATATAGTACCCAGGACGCAGTAAACTTTTCAATATATGCACCCTTACAACAAACTGTATTATAATTACTGACTGGAAATATATGAATAAAAAATAGCCAGACCTAGCAACATGGATATCTTAACATTTCCTCAAAACAAGTCAAGTTCATGAAATATCGATATAACACTTGAGTTTTAAGATTCAACTCATAAAGCAATCTGATCCTCCTAAAAGCAGGAAAAGGCAGAAGAGTTATCTATTCTATACAGAAACGTCATTCAGGAGACAGTGAAAATAATGATCTAATTATTCTCCATTAGGGATGGGCACAAAGCCCGGCCCCGTGGGGATCCGCCCCGAATTTTTCAGGATTCGGGCCCGGATCGGGCCCAAATTTGGCCCCGAAATTCGGGGACGGGCCGGGGGCTGGGATAGGTGTTTCCCCACCCCGCCCCGTATATTATATATATATATATATATATATATTAATTTTAATATTTGAAAATCAATTATACATTATACAATAATAATATATATGTAATATATTATTTGTTGTTTGATTGATTATAATGAATCAATAAATCACTATAATTTAGTATGATGGTTTTTATATTTAATATGTATATTATATATTTAATTTTTTTTTTTTGTTGGTATATATAATTTGGAGAAAAGAATAATAAAAGTATAAAACAAAGGATAAAAAATACAAAAAACCCCCAAACAGGGAATTCGGGGGTTTGGGGAACGGGCTTTTTTTTGGGGATTCCCCTAATTCTCCGAACGGGCTTCGGGCCGGGACCGGGGAATCCCCTAGGGCTTTTGGGCCGGGGCCGGAGACAATGGTCCCCGGCCCCGCCCCGCCCTGTGCCCAAGACTATTCTCCAAGGGATGAAGCACAAAAAAGTTAGCAATCTTCCACAAAAGTGGACCTATTCAATTGCTACTTAAAACAACCAAACCAAACATAACAAGACATAATATAATATATGTACCAATCAATAATTTCATGGGGATTGAACATACCTTTAAACTATCGGTGATAATATTGTACAACAAATCTTTTCACATTCTCAAGAAAAAGGGAGATACCTTTCTTCTATCAGATGTCAGTTGAGGAAGGGTCAAACGTATCACTTCACCATCATTGTTTGGAGTCAAACCAACATCAGAGCTTACTATGGCCTTCTCTATAGCCTTTAAGCTGAAACAAACAACATGCAAAAGGTAACATGAATTAACAGGATAAAGTATACAAACACTACAGGACATACTCTGGAATCAGAAGTTTTCTATTGCTCAATAATTCCAGAAAATTATATTAATTTTCTTGTCAAAGAAAATGAGTCAAAAGGTCGGAGAAGCTTAACTAGTCCATACACATTTACTTTATTTTCTCAGCTTACCATACAAAGCAGATTTTAGAAGACCTTTTTTCTTTTTTTTTTTTTACATATATATTTCCTAGTATGCATGGGGTGTCTACTGCAGAATATAACAAACTAGACATATAGGTTGGTACTTAACAATGCCAAACTTAATTCATGGCCTCGTATTTATGAAGTACCTTGATTTATCATATGGTTGAACCAGAAGAGAACTTGCATCAGGCGTAGTGATTTGAGCTATGCTCTTCAAGCCGACTGGAGTTCCATAATATTCCACCTAAAAAAGCATTGACATATAGGTTTATAAGAGAGGCATGCCAGGCACTACTTAAAAAATTCAAGTCAATGAATAACAATTTTTCTGATTTTAGTCTTGCAGTATTTCTTCAAACTATGTACATTTTCCTACTGTTGCTTACTGATTACCCTCTCCATTTATTATGTAAGCTTTAGTTTCTATAATGAGTTTGCAGGTGGAGGAATAATCCACTTGAGAACTAGAAAGAGCAAACAGAAAAAAATAACATGAGAAAGGAGAGAAGCAGAGATAGCACATAAGATTTATCACAAAATGGACTTCGCATGGGAAAAGTGGCTCAGGGTAACAGCAGATAGTGGAGTACAAAATAACTGGGGAAATTTCTACGGATGCAAAAGTGAGACACCGAATTTTTATTCAAAACTTAATGTAATGACTTCACCGTCTTAGCTTTAAGATCATTAGTACACATCACATATCAGCATTTATAGTTGGTTCATTAGGTTATGCTCTATTCCAACACAATTCATCTCTCTAAATTTAAACCAAAGCTCAGTTTTACATACACAAAAATAAGATTCAAAAACACAGGACAGAATGCAATCAGCACAGGAAATATTGCCAGGAGTCAAACCTCAATCTTATCTAACATGGCTGGATTTGCTCGCCCTGTCCGTACTGAATTGAAATTGGTCCGAACCATTTCAATAGTCTTATCCATTCTAGCTTTCTGAAAAATTATCCAGCGCAGTGATTATTCAACAACACGCTTCTAGAAAACACTAAACAGAATGTAAAAAACAATCACAAAAACACTCACAACATCTTTTTCAATGGAAGATTTCTCCGCTTCGATTTCTTCAATAGTTGCACACCTCACAAATCTTGTTCTGCATTGTTCACAACAATCAAAATTCAGCCGGACATTTTAACAAACAATAAACAAGCTATTTTATCAATCGAACTAAAACTACAAAATCTCTGACCTCTTGTGCACCAATTGTTTAACAACAACAGATTTTCCAGAGAATTTCACAAGTCTAACGTAGTTTGCAGCTGAGCTCCACTTGCTCACATTCACACTGCCAACGCGGCACGAGGCGCTTTCAGCTCTTCTATGATAAGAATCTGTTAAGAAAATAAAAAAACAAAATTACCAAAATATTTTGAGGAAAAAAAAAAAAAAGAGAGTAATAATAATACCGAAGAGAATTGTATAGAGAACCTGGAAGGAAAAGGAGGGATTTGGAAGGATTTGGTTTGGACTGGAAAATGGAGCGAACAGACCTCGTTGAAGAGAAGTGCGTCGCCATGAAAGCCTAGACTAAAAAAGCAAAAGCGTTTAAAATGCGTGGTTTTGTTAGTAGCAGTAACTGAGTTGAGAGCCTGGTCTTTCTTTGTCAACAAGGTTCGAAGAAGAACAGGGGAATGGTTTGGACTTTGGATAAGAGTTTCGTTGTTACTTCAGGGACCCTGTTTGCCTTTTGGGATAAACTTGTTCTGTACCTGTATTTGGGATGTTTCTTTTCCGGACAGTATTATTCAATGTTGAGATTACTTTCTTACTCCTGGGCAATACTAGAGTTACAATTTAATTCTATAAACTTTTTTTAACAATCTCAACATAGTAGTTAGTCAGCTTATAATTACTAATTAGGGCAGGCGAATCTATTGCGAACTATCACGTGGATAGAGACAGATCTAGCCCTCAAATTTTTTTTAAAATACTAATATGTACAAATTTTGGATTTTGGCCTACCCTAACAAAACATTAATGGACAAAAATATTAAATGTACAATTAGTTTTTATTTTTACTTACCCTAACAGAAATTTTTAGATCTGCTATTACACGTCGAAATTATGAGAGAAAATTTGTAAAATTAGATTTTAAGTCAATCTTTATTGTTGTTTTATATATACTCAATTTTTTTTTAATCTTCTTTTAACTATCTTAAAGATCTAGCAGTTGTGCACGTTGGAATCACAAGTAATTTCTTTTAGAAAGAAACAAAAAATAATAACAATCCACAAGTTATGTAAATCAATTGAAAGTTATAAACAATATGATATAGTAAAATAAACCCAAAAAATTTAATGCTTATATCTTATTGATCAAATTCATTTAATCACCTTGATTATTTTTTAAAAAAAAAAAATAGGTTTATGAGGTAGAAAAGGAAATAAATTTTTTTAAATTAATAGCAAAATCAATTCTAGATAGGTTGTGTATGAATTATGAAATAATTTTGCGTCTTATTTAATAGTTTTTCATAAAGGATAAAAGTGTAATTAAAAATAATATAATAAACAGGGTCAACTAAAATAATTAGTGAGAGTCTGAGAGACTAATAGCACCACTCTTAAAATATTAGTGTTAATAAATGTGGCAAAGTTAATGTTTTAGTAAAACTTTAAACAATAAATTTACTTTAGTTCAGTTAATTACATTGTCACCCTTAAAGTATGGTGTGAATTTTCTCCCTCCAATTTTAAAATAGTTACGCTAACATCCCAAAATAGAGATTATGTCAAGTAGATATAACTCCGAATGCAGTATTACCACGAAAAGTTTTCGAGGACACCATAATTTTACCGAAACCATTTGTAATTAAATTACGTTCGCATTGTCCTCTACATGCGTTACGTCTAACGATAAAAATGTTCATTTTCTCCTAATAAGTTGGCTCAAATTTTTTGTTTGCCATGTTTACCAACATACAGTGGTAGACCCAGGATTTTTGTCCAGAGGGGCCCTCGTTCCACCACTGTTTGCCAACCAACTAGTGAAAACATAAGAAAATAATATCCAATTCACAAGGAAACGCAAGAAAATTGTTACGTGGAAAAACCTCTTCAATGTGAAGAGATAAAAAAACCACGGGAATATAATCTAACGATCCACTTAAATCCAATATAATCAAAAGAGTTTATTGATGCATATTTTTGACAAACATACAAATATAGCAAGTGCACTAGTCGCAAAAAGTAATAAAGTGCTAAGTAGAGTATCGTTTCCACGAGGATAGTGTTACTAAGTACCGATTTCTCTAGTTTAAGTCCTAATTGAAGCAACAATAAATTGGATTGATAGAAAATTAACTAACTAAATACAATTTAAGAAAATAAAAATGAATGATAATGAAATTAAAGCGAAACCCAACAACTTAACTAATTAAACAAAATACTAAAAAAAATGCTAGGGTGTTGATTTCAACGTAGATATGCTAACCCAAATCATAGAATCTATTATCCAAGTTCTAATTCCTTGATTGAAAATCGAATTCCCTAAATTGTAAAACATACATTCTCAGGCTATATTTTCTTACTTATCCCTATTAAGCTTCCGCACCTAACAAAATGAAGATTAATAGTTTAAAGTCTTTTAAGCTTAATGAAGATTAATAGCTCAAAGTCTTTTAAGTTTTATGGAATTCTATCTAGATTTCATAAATCGCTAAACCTATCTCTCATAAATTGCTAAACCTATCTCTCATAAATCGCTAAACATATCTCTAGTGTTTGCTTAATCTAAGGTATTTATCCCAAGAGACACAATCACAAATCATTTCTCAATCTCATTGTGAACAACACACATTTAAATGGTGATCAAGCATCCAAAAGTTATTAAGCAAAGAGATAAACACTCAATCATGAAATTAAAACTCAAAGTAAATCAATTCATATAAATTTGAATCATTGTATCAAGGTTACATCAAACCTCAGCTAAACAACTCAGTTCATACTCAAAAACAAAATAAAATAACAAAAACAAACTGAATCAAGATTCATCATTGAAAAACAAGCAAAAGATGGAGAAATCTTCTCTAATTTGAAGCCCAAATCTTCAATAATCTTCTCCTTCCAAAAGCTGCCTTCCAAATGACGAACCAAGACCCTTTTCTTTCGTTTTCGTGCTAATTTATACCTCTTTCACTTAAGGACCAAGCCCTAGCAGCCAAAAAGCGTCGTTTTATTTTTCACATCTGACGCAGTTTCGCCGCAGTGAAGCTTTTTCCTTGCCGCAGAGAGAATCTTTCGAGCCAAATTTGAGCATGAAAGAGTCTTAATATGGAAAAGTGTTAAACATATTAATTGTAGCCCTTTAAATTATGTTTCTACTAGTTCAAGAATCAAAACAATCCGAGGTCTACAGCTCAAGTTATGGAAGAAATACTGAAGCACATCCAAAGACGTTTTCCTTCGGTTTCCAACATACTGTTCACGACTTCAAGCCAAGTTTTTACCCTTGTCCAGTTAGAATTAGGAAAAACCCAAAACATGAAAGTTGTAGCTCTGCTTCTTTGCTTTCCAAAGCTTCTAAAATTACGTAATTTACGCTCAAAACTGTCATCTATACTCAAAATCATCGTTTAGGCCTACAAAGACAAATTAATAGAATTAGGTAGCAATTATGGCCCAATTTGTATGAGAAGTATCCTAAATCCTATCGAAATTCAATACAAAATCATAGGAAAAAATAGGATTATCATTTACAATAATCACAAATTCACCAAAAATATTCTACATAAATTTAGAATTCAATCACAACTCTAATAAAAGTAAAATACACTAAGGTTTACAAAAATATGGATTACAATCACTCCAAATCCAGATACGCATGTAAAAGGGAAGGGAAGTTGGGAATTGGGAAAGAAAAACTTGAATATAAAAAAGGCAAAACCTAACTTTTTTTTTTTTTTTTTTTTTTACCTTTTAAAAAAAATTCTCAATTTTTTTTTAAAAGTCGAGGGTAGGTTTGGGCCTACCCTCAAAGGACCTGGGTCCGCCCCTGCCAACATAGGCACCTTATGTTTAGAGTTGTGGCAGTGGTCAAGAGTAGGGGTGAAAATCGAGTCGAGTCACTCACGAGCGACTCGAGTTAGGCTTGGCATTAATCGAGTCGAGTCCAAGTTCGATCACAGTAGAACTCGAACTCAATTAAAACTTAAATACTCAAATTCGATTGAAGCTCGTATTCTCGAACTCGAATAAAATTTAACTAAAACTCGATTATACAAACTCGAATTCCAATTTCATGTACCGAGTTCGAATTCAAACTCGATTTCTCATGCTCGATCAAGCTCGAACTCGAATTCAATACTGTAACACTCGAGTCGATTTTGATTAACCAAATACTCGACTTGACTAGATTTCACCTCTACTCAAGAGTGCCGCAGATGAAATAATGGTTGCCTGACTTGTCGAGTGTGATCTTGTCCAAGCCAGAATTGTAGAGCGCGATTGGAGATTTCGTTTCGCATGATTTCGTACACTTTATGGCCAATTATCATCATACTGTGCTGTGAGAGGTTGTACTTGAACACTACATTAATTAAAGGATACAAGATTACCCATTAACGATATGATATAAAATAAGGTTTAACTCAATTTAAGAGGTGATTAATTAACTAATTAATTACTTTAATTACCTAGAGTGTCTTTAACAATTCTTAACTATTTAATTCTTAAGTTGGTCCTAATTACTCATAAATAACATAATTTGCAAATGAAATATCATGATATTTATAGTTGGTTTTTTATTATATTTTTCTCTAAATATTTTATCAGAAAATATGTTTGTATTTGGATGTCAATTTTAATTTATATGAATAAAAGTTGGAAAAAAAATTGTCATGAGTTTCTTTACAAATCTCGCTAATAATATTATAACTTTTAAGAAAAGCTACAAATGGTTTAAATGACATTTTAAAAATGTTATTGATATCCTAATTTTCGTTTTGTGAATTTCTCATATAGATATCTATATATAAATTAGGCATGGCAATGTTCCCCGAGATTTCAGGGACCCGTCCCGCCTCGCCCCATATGGGGCGGGGAAGCCCCGGTTTTTTTGGGGATAGGGGCGGGGGTGGGGGGTGTTTTAATCCCCGTCCTCGGGGATGGGGCGGGGGTGGGTGATACCTTTCCCCCGGCCCGCCCCGTATATAATATATAAAATTAAAAAAATGTATATATATATTTACTTTTCACTAATATCCCTATATTTCACCTAATTACACAATTATCCTTCCTATATAAACCCATATTTTTCTAATTCCCTCACCCTAAACAATTGAACAAGAACAAACCTTGACCCATATTTATGTATAATTAATTATGTTTAAACGATTAATTTAAGTGTTTGTCATGTGGACGAGAATTAACTATTGTGTTTGGTAATGCTCAAATTAATTTATGTTTATATAAAATTAACAGGACAGGGACGGGCCTCCAACATTCCCCTTTGGGGCGGGGAAGGGGAATTCCTGTCATCCCCGTAACGGGGATGGGGCGGGGGTGGGGAATGATTTTGAGGGTGGGTATGGGTACGGTGAATGAGATCCCCGCCCCGCCCCGCCCCATTGCCATGCCTAATATAAATTTGATCGACTGCTCACTTTATGCACTTCACTTCACTTAACAATTATTTTTGTTAGGGTTAATTAAATTTTCGAAAAGATATATTAAACTCCCCTAAAATTTATGATAAATTGGCACTACCTTTTTGTTTCAATATTAAGAGATGATTAGGTTAAAATAAATAAATAAAGTTTGGACATATATAATAAACTCTTCTTACTTTCCTAAATTGGGAGGATTTTATTTAAAGAATAAATTGAGTTATAAAATTCGGTAACTTGCTAATTATACCTTTAATGAAACAACAAATAATATGTTCTTTAACATATAACATTACACACTATAGTAGATCATACTAGACTCGATAGTTTCGTATTTAAATTAGATCATGTTAGATCATATCAGAATATTAAATCTAAAGCATTCCGACCATTTCTCTCAGTTTTATTATTTATTAAGGACAATTATATAAAATTACCTAATTTCTCTAAATAAAACTACTGAGAGATTTGAGTCGTAATAAAAGCTATTAAGATATAAGATAGAGCCAATAAATCAAACAGAATATATAAGTATACGCGCTTTCATTTAGACTCGAAAACTTGTATCAATGAGAATTTCGAAACAATAAAATATGAATACAGTTCATGCACGCACCGAACATTTCTTCGTCTTATCGATCTTATTGCTAATGGTTTATGGCTCTAATGCTCTGTATATTGATTCATGGGGATGGGCTATATGTGGGTGCATCGGAATAAGGAGGCAAATGTTAGGGCCAAAAATCGTCCTTGGCCCAAATAGAAAAACAGGCCCAACACTGAAGAAGAAGCCAGGCCCAATCCCGATATAACCCAACCGGACTAGGCCCATTCGGTACAAGATATAGCCGGTCCAAACCACGTGGGCACGAGCCTCCTAATCCCAGTCCATTTCCTAGGTCCATGGGCGAATCTAGAGCCCATGACCCCCTCAGAATACTTTCCTACTCATGATCAATCTCCTATTCAAAGTCACCTTCCTATTCCTGATCACTTTCCTACTCGGAGTTACTTTCCTGATCAGAATCACTTTCCTATCCGGACACTGGTAAGACAGCTTACCACGGCCCTAATTCTTCTAGGGTTTGCATCAGAGTCATGCTAGGACTCCTACTTCTACCAGGATTGGGAGACCAGACAGTCACTATATAAGCAGAGGCCAGCCCTCTCACAAAGGACACTACATTACACCTTCACACCCGAAGCTCCTACTTGAGAGCTTCACTTCACCGCCGTAGTCACAGCCCTCGACTAGACTTCCGATAATCTCTTACTCCTTAGCCCTCACTATATTAGCCTTTCAGCCTTGCTGACTTGAGCGTCGGAGTGCCTGCGGCAAACACCACCCCTGTGTTTCCTGTTCGCTTCACGTGTGTGTTTTTCTACGTGTACAGGTACAACAGATCGCTAGTGGCCTCATCCTCATGGGATCAGACCCCCCTTTCGTACAGGTAGATTTTTACGTCTACAGCAAACCATTCGAAGGACCGGGTGCGTCGGGTGATTCAGATGGTGCGTGGCTCTCTTCATCTTCTTTTTCGTTCTTCAAGTCCTCTGCCAATGGATTACGAGGTTGTCCAGGCGCGAAATCAACGTTAAAGCTCACCTTTTGTCCGACTTCGCAGTGGTTGAGAGTACTGCAGATGAAGAAATGGAGGCCAGACCTTTTCAGCTCAATCTTGTCAGAGCCAGTCCGGTAGACGGCAATTGGGTTCTCTTTGTTACATTTCTGGAAGTTTTCCTTAGTTACTTCCATCACATCGTGCATGGCGGTGTTGTATTGGAAAACTGCATAAAATGTTCACTATAATAATCATTCGAAAGGGACGGATCAAAAATTAATTTCAGAGAGGGTGAATTCAAAATAATTTAATATAAAAAATCAGCAACGTTTTATATAAAAATGTTTTGAAAAAACAAAAAGTAGAAATAATGAGGACGAATTAAGTAGGGGTGAGCATGAAAATAGGTTCTACTCGGAACCGATGGGTACCCGGTTCCGGGTAGGAACCAGAACTGACCCTCACAGGATAAGTTTTGGTTCTAAAAAATAAGAACCAGGACCCCTGTTCCGATTCCGATTCTGGTTCCTTCACTCTAGGAACTGGGAATCAGAACCTGGAATAGGGTACCCTGCTAGGAGCCGATAACAAGGTACCCTGCAAAGAACCGGGGTTTATACATGACTAGTATACAACATTGGGGGGTTTTAAAAATTTTACCCCTAGACTATATACATAACTAGTGAACATTTTGGATTTTGGATATGAAGAAGCTATGAATAATTTTAATATATAGTCTTACACTATATATTAAAACTAAGACTATATATTATAATTATTTGAAATATTGAAATTAATTAATAAGGAAAAAGTTATATTGTTATAGAATATTTAAACAAATGGGGGTGTATTTGTAAATTTTATAAGTTTTTTTTGTCATTTTGTAAAGTTATAAGGACCAATGTAATTATCCAGGGTACCCGAAATCGGAACGGTTCCAGCAATTGAGGACCGGAACCGTTGGTTCTGGTTCCTCCAAAAATATCAGGGTATCCAAACCCGATCACTCTAGAATTAAGGGCATGATGCATTACCTAAAGTGTCACCGACGTAGAATGTTTTGCCGGAGGCCCATTGGTAGTAATCGATGGGAACTTTACGAGTCCATTCGGGTTCATCACCGACTTTGTACTCAGCTGCCATGGCGACTCCACAACCTAGTGCCAAGATCATCATCAAGAAACTTATGGAATTATTCATCGTTGAAAATCGAATGTTTTCTTTTGAAGCACAATAATGTGAAGGAGAGTGAAGTGATTATAAAATATAGATTCGCAAATGAAATATCAAGGTATTTTATAGTCAATTTCTAAGGGCAATCATAAATATAGGAAACTGCTTCTAGTTTCTAAGCCATATGTATTAACAAGAATCTGGTCCCCTAATGAATTCAACAATTTCATACGAACATAACATGTAGATGCAATAGTCAACATATTTGTGGATCTCTATTTTAATTATATGATTAAAGGTTAAAAGAAAATGTTCATTACCATTAATTCACAAAGCAAGTAGGAAATTCATATAAACATAAGACGTAGATAAAATAAGTCAATACATACCTGATACTTATGGTATTATTATATTTAATTAATTTTAAATATTTTATAAAATTAAATATGTTTGCATTTTGGATGTCAATTTTAATTATTATAAGAAAATGTTTTTGTCTCTTTTCGTTATCATTAGGATATGTTTGGCATGCAACATTGTATAGTGTAACATTATATATTATATTGCATGGTATTATTATATTATATGGGTTACGGTCTTTTAATACAAATTTTTGACATAAATCATAAAATTTGGTTCAATATAGTCCAACGGATTTGGATGAGAAGTTAAGAGTTATTTTTAGTGCCGTCTAAGCAATTTCTAAGCCATTGGATTATCATGAATCAATTTTTATGAATTTATGTCATAAATTTGTGTTACAATAGTTTGACTCTTATAGGGGATAATGACACGACACAAAATATAGTAGGATGTTTCGTACATCTTTGTATTTTAATTTATCTTTAGTTTTTTCATTTAAATTTTTAACAAGTATTCATTGAAATTTAATAGTTTATTTAAAAACTTAATTCTTTTTACTGTTAACTAAAATTTATATTAGTTATTAAAAGAATTGCAGAAAAAAAAAATTAATGAAAAAGAATCATTCAATAACACTAAAAATATTTTTATTTATTAGCGTTATTTTAAATCAATAATTATCTATTAATTTTAAAGTAATTAATTAACTTATTAAAAGTTTGAAAGTAAATGAAATAATACAATGCATCTCTTAACCCACCATTTTACTTGGTATTAGTTAGTAGAATGGATATTTAGGACTTGTACATTGCATTAGCTGATACAGTGCAAAATTTCCACCATATATCATGTGAACCTTATCCCTTAAAAGGAATGCATGAGAGCTTATATATATATACCAACAGCACACTTCAGGTATATATTTATATATGCACTTCAGTTGATAATTACTTTTACAAGGATTTATTAAATTTTCCAGAATATATCTGAAAACCACATTGTTAATATTTTGTTAGAAATTCGGTCATTAATAATATATTTTGTCCCTTTAACGAAACCCTAATAATAGGGAATGTAAATTGTTATTTCTAATTTTTAGTTATTTAATGATATCTTAGAAAAAATTGCAATTAACTCTTTATATAATTATATATTAACCATTGAAAATTTTATGTTAATTAGATTGGGACCGCCTTTCTGTTTCAATCATATANATATTTATATATGCACTTCAGTTGATAATTACTTTTACAAGGATTTATTAAATTTTCCAGAATATATCTGAAAACCACCTTGTTAATATTTTGTTAGAAATTCGGTCATTAATAATATATTTTGTACCTTTAACGAAACCCTAATAATAGGGCATGTAAATTGTTATTTCTAATTTTTAGTTATTTAATGATATCTTAGAAAAAATTGCAATTAACTCTTTATATAATTATATATTAAACATTGAAAATTTTATGTTAATTAGATTGGGACCGCCTTTCTGTTTCAATCATATAGATGAACATGTTTAGTGACGATTAGGTTAAAATAAATAAAAATTCAAAGGCTTAATAACAAGAGAAATTTAATTAATGAAATTTTCGAATCAATAATATAGAAATTCAATTCATGCGTCTTTTTCTTGAACGTGAACCCAATTGGATGTAATTTCAAATGGATTATGGCTCTAATGCAATTTGTCTTCTAATCCTTCTTCTTTTTTGGGGTTGGGGCTGATTTGGGTGCATTATAGTAAGGAAGCAAAATACTTGAAGGACCGGGAGCATCCGGCGCTGCCATTGGTGGATTTTTTTGGTTAGGATCAGTCTCAGGTGTTTCTCCAGCATCAGGCGCTGCAGTTGGTGAATTTTCATCCCTAGGATCAGCACTTGGGTTCTTCGGTTCTTCCTCATAATTTTGTCCAGGCTTGTAATCAACTACAACGCTTAACTTCTGTCCGGCTTGGCAATGGCCGGGAGTACTGCAGATGAAGAAATAGTGGCCGGCCCTCCTCAACTCGATCTTGTCAGCGCCGGTGCGGTAGACGGCGATTGGGTTTCGTGTGTTGCATTGCTTTAAGTTTTTCGCAGTCACTTTCATCACATCGTGCGTGGGTGTGTTGTACTGGAAAACTGCATAAAATAATTAAGCAACAGATATAGATATAGAAATGACTGTCAAAACGAGGGCACCAAACAATCTACTGAAGAAGATCTTTCTCCTTCCTTTTTTTTAAGAAGAAAATTGAGAAAACCGATGTAGCATACAATACATTACGTACAAAGAGTGTCACCGATGTAGAAATTCTTGTCGGAAGCCCATTCATAGTAATCTACGGGAACTTTGCGGGTCCATCCAGGTTCATCACCGACCTTGTACTCGGCGGCTATGGCAACTCCACAATAGAGAGCCAAGATCATCATGACAAGACCCATTGAATTAATATTTGTTAATTCCATGGTTTCAAAGTACAATATGTGAAGGAGAGTGAAGAGTTTATTCAATTATGATATGGAAATGGAGTGATTTGCATGAGACGCTATTTATAATTGAAGATCAACGTTAAGTTTCATGGCTCACTGTAAATATCGGAAAAATATTAACATTCTAAAATAGTATCATTTTTCATTTGACTTGGACCTAATCAAGGCCGATTATGATTTAACTTATGAATGGTCTTTTTTATTTATTTTGTTCGATTAATTTGATGCCTTATATTTGATTCAATCCGGTTCTCATTTCTAACACTAGTGTTATTTGAGTCTCCACATTCTTTTTCGATAATAATTTTTTAAACTAATAAGCACTTATTTTAATAGTACACCCCATAAATTAAAAAGTCTCAGTGTTTGAAAATTGAAATTATTTGTTAAGAAATTATGTTATCACAAATAATTTTTTTATTTTGCAATAAAATAATAATGGGTATTTCCGTTAATCGTTTTTGCTTAGGGTTTGAAATTGTTCGTTAAATAAGATTAAGCTACTATATAATTATTTGATCTAAACGAGAAGGATGAAAAAGAAAAATCATTTTAACTAATTGATATATTTTTTATTTTCAATTCTTATGAAACTTGGAGTTGATTTGAATAAAAATACTATGTATAAGAATTTGGAGAGGAAATAAATTGTCGAACGAAAGCCAATTCAAATTTTATCAAAAAAGGAAAATATAAGTATTGATGCAGAAATCTGCACCAACTAGCGAGATCCGATCGACCTTGTTTGGATCGAAACTGATGTGTGCGTGATTACGGATAATCAGCGATAAGTGAATGATAATGTCAAAAAGTAAATGACAAAGAGAACTTTTAAAGTGGTTCGGCGAAGTTAACAGCCTACGTCTATTGTGTTTTTTGTATATATTGTGAGAGCTTACAATGTAGTTTTTATCCAAAATTTGTGTCCCCCTCCTCATCGTTTTAGGGGGTTTATATACAAAATTTACATAAAGAAAATAGCGAAATTACGGAGATTACAAATGATTTGAATCACAATTCCAATATCCTTGCGATTAAGCGTTATGATCACACAATGATAACTGTTGATCCAATCAGGATCTGAAGTAATCTGAGGATTGATTGATTAATTTCTAGGATTGTCCGCGACTGGCTTGTGTTGAGTCAAGCTACGGCTCGACGAGCTTATGCTAAGTCAATCAATCATAGTTGCCGAGATCATTCTGAGTCGAGCTATATCCTCGCGTTAGCTCGAGCTTGGTGGAAAAACCACACACACCAATAAAGATGATAGAGTTAACCAAAAAAAAAAAAAAAAAATGTAAAGAAAAATATTAGAGAAGGGCAATTCTGAAATGAAATATAAATTATTTCTAAATTAAAATTTTAAAATAATTTTAACTATTACTGAGCTTAGAAAAAGATTTAGTGGGGCTTAAATAACGCAGCTCCACTTCTAGTCTAGTAAATCTTGTTTAGTCAAGGTCAGTTTACGTTCAGATTTTCTGGGCTTCGTTTTCAATGAGGGCCATATGAATTTGGTCCAAAGGGACCCAACCCAGGTAGCATAAAAAAAATTGTACAATATAATCAAACATCTGTATTTGATGAGTGAAAATAAATACATATTTACAGAGGAATGTAGTATTTTAATGGTATAATAAATAACCAAATTTAATAGTGGTAGCATCTGAAGCAGAACCAGAATTTTACATAGAAAATTGCAAGTCTAAATAGGTAAATCAGAGAGTAAATTTGACTTGAATGTCTTGACCAAAACTCTACATGAACCCAGATGCATAGTTGAGTCTTTAAAACAAGAATTTGATCGTATAGGTTGTGTTTAATTTCACTTATAAATGTGAATTTTAAGACCACCTTCTTGGATACCCTGCAATAAGACAGACAAGGTAGATATGCTCATTCAATCACTCCATTTACTTATTGAACAAACATATTTGTTAAGAAGAATTTCATGTTTCACGTTTGTTTAATCTTTCCAATCACCACCTGGACATCAAGTCCGTCCCCTCCCAGTACAGAAACATTACTTTCTGTTTGTCCGTAAACGATATGATGGACATTTACGTAAACGATTCAAAGATCAGGACTGAAAATATGAATTAATTAAATTGAAATACTTATGGCTTCCAGCAAACAATTATTTAATATCAAAATATAATAAAACTAACTAAAATCCATTCCCTGGTAAGAGACATCTTTATGGAACTGATAACTAAGTCCTCTTGTATTAACCGAGGTTTTCCCATTAATTAAGCAAATAAAATAAGATTTTTAATACATAAATCATATATTTATTGGGGGATTATTTGTTAATTAGCATGTGTTGGTTCCATGTTGTTTCGCTACTGCTTCTGCAATGGTTCAGTCCAGCACAACAGAGTTAATAAAAGTGTAAATCAAAAACCCACTAAAGTTTAGTTAAATCACAAAAATCTTCCCAAGGTTTTCTGAAATCACAAAAATCTCTCTATTGTTAAGATTTAAGCGTTAAAATTAATAGTAAGTGGAAAATACCATAATATCAAGGGTCCATTTGATATAGAATTTAAATGCAGATACAATCAATCTTATGAAAATACATTTGATAGAAATGACTCAAATTGTTATGAAAACAGTTTTCAAATACATTCCTAGAAACTAATGTAAAAATAGAAAATGATTAACAGTCGTCTAATATGAAAATCGTTTTTAAATATTATATCAAATAAATTTTCAAATATTAAAAATATTAAGATACAACTATAAAATTTGAATCATATTTTAGTTTTTCAAAATTATTTTTGAATAAAAATCAAACAGGCCCTTAGTAAGTAGTAAAAGTGTAATTCCTCTTTAATTTATCACTAATAGTAGGTGGTATATTTAAATTTCAAAAACCTTTTGAGAAATTTTGTGATTAAATCAATGTTAAAGGGGTTTAATGTTAACCGTTAATTAAATAAATTAAAGGGAAACAGAGGCACACCAAACAACAATTTAGTCAAGCCGAGCCGAGTCAGAAGCCGAGGTTCGCGCTTCCCGTTAATCGATAACAACACGCACAGTTGCACGTGCAAGGACAGTCAATACACGTAGGACTCTCACGACAAAGAAAAAAAATGAACCACCACCAGGAAAATAATTAAATTAAATTAAAAATAAAAAAAGAAATTAAAATATTATATAAATGTATATATAAGTATATAACATAACCACCTCCAACACCTAAAGCGTACTACTTCACTTCCGGTTTTAACTCTCAACAACTCAGAGAGAAACTCTACAGTGAGGGGGAGTGTACAGAAACACTAACAACTCTCAACTCTCACTCTTATACTTCCACTTAGCCCACACCACAGCCCACAGAGATTTTAGAGAGAGCGCGTTTTTTTTTCACTCATTTAATGCGTCTCATCAACAAATCGTGGAACCATTCCCTTCTCCTCTTTCTTTTCACGGACTAATCAAAATCTTTCACGCTAACAATCAATCATTTTGTAAAATTATTTACTGAGTGAGCGAGTTTGAGAGCTATGGAGTTGAGTAAGGTTACGTTAGAGATCTTTTCGAAGCTGGAGCAGAAATGGTTGTCGCACTGTGAAACCACCAAGAAAACTCGAGTTCTTAGCATCGATGGCGGAGGAACCACATGCATTGTTGCTGGCACTGCTTTAATCCACCTCGAGGACCAGATCCGTCTCAAAACTGGCGATCCTGACGCTCGAATCGCCGATTTTTTTGACATTATTGCTGGCACTGGCATTGGAGCTCTCCTTGCTGCCATGCTTGCCGCCGATGATGGCTCTGGCCGTCCTCTCTTCACTGCCAGAGACGCTGTCGAGTTGATCACTTGCAGAAACTCTGAAATTTTCAAGGTTACGTTCTCTGGAGTTCTTCGCCGCCGACGGCGATTCTCCGGCAAGAGCATGGATAAGGTTTTGAAGGAAATCTTTAAGAGAAATGACGGCAAGGTCCTCACTCTGAAAGATATGTGTAAGCCACTCCTTGTTCCTTGCTTTGACTTGAAAAGTTCGGCTCCGTTTGTCTTCTCCCGTGCCGACGCGTCCGAGTCGCCGAGTTTCAACTTCGAACTCTGGCAAGTATGCCGCGCTACATCAGCGACGCCGAGCCTGTTTAAGCCGTTTGCTCTAACGTCCGTCGACGGAAAGACAACTTGCTCGGCCGTTGACGGCGGTTTGGTGATGAACAATCCAACGGCTGCAGCGGTTACTCACGTGCTGCACAACAAGCGCGATTTTCCGTCAGTTAACAGTGTGGAGGATCTGCTGGTTCTGTCTTTGGGTAACGGTTCGCTAATGGGTGGATCTTGTGGTGGGAAACTCCGTCATAACGGCGAGTGCTCCACGTCATCGGTGGTTGACATTGTTGTTGATGGAGTCTCGGAGACCGTAGACCAGATGTTGGGGAACGCTTTTTGTTGGAATCGTTCTGACTACGTTAGAATTCAGGTATATATTATAAACATTTATATATCATTACACTCTGTTTGGTCTCCCAGAAAATGCAAGAAAATGAAAACGAAAATTATTTTTATTTGATTTTTCCTTATACTTTTAGTAATATTTATTTTTTGTTGAGTGAAAAAATGGAGTGATTGACGGCGTGAAATCTGTAGGCAAACGGTTTGATGAGCGAAGGAGTGGTGGGTCCGAGAATGGAGGAAGAAGTGTTGAAAGAGAGAGGGGTGGAGTCGTTACCGTTTGGCGGGAAGCGGTTACTGACGGAGAGTAACGGCCAGAGAATCGAGAGCTTTGTGCAAAGCCTTGTTGCATCTGGGAAGACCAGTTTACCACCCAGTCCCTGCAAGGAATCCGCCGTCAGCCCTCTCGTTAACGGCCATTAACCAGTTTTTTATTTTATTTTTTATGTTTTGTTAACCATTGTGTAAGTTGTAACCAATCTCAGGTTCTTTTCCACTTAACCATCTTTTGTCCTTGATCTTGAGTTAAATAGCAGCTAATAATTACTATCAGTTTAATTAATTACTCTCTTAATTATGATTTATAATAAAGAACAAAAAATGGAATTTATTAGGTAAGAAAGTAAAATCAAAGTGAATGCATGAAATTGCCGGTGGGGTTAAGCAGCCCAAAAATTGAAGTGGTCCTCTCCTCTCAAAGGGAAAATATTAATTTTGCTGTGACTATAAACGTGAGAGAAAAATTTACTCTATTATGACAAGTCATGAGGTGAGGCCGTGAAGTAGAGGGTCCTTATACGATGATAACAGAAACGTCACATACATGAAATCGAAAATGAGATACCCTCTCTCAAAGAGAGAATTGTTTTAAATGACAAGTTCCAAATATTAATTGGCATATAGTTAAAATACTTAACGAAAACAAGATGATAGGTGCAGAGGAAAGTTCATTATAATGTCACATGGTTATTGATCAGACACTGCAGCTCATTTTTCAATATATATATATTTTTTTGTTATATCTCGAGATATTTGTAACAGTTAAAACTTTACTAATATAACAATACACTTTCAATTTCACATATTGCTCTCAACCGGTCACCTCGGTGCCGATCCACTCAGTATTAAAAGAGGGGCAAGTCCAACCAGCCACCTTGGTGCCGACCACTCAGCATTAAAAAAGGGGCAAGTCAACCAGCTTCACCACAACCGGTTGCTCAATCGGATTAGTCCATTCCTTAGCTGCAATCAAATCTCTTCTTTGTGGATTTGATACTAAAAAAAATCATTAAATTTACTTAGTTCTGTTCTACCCAAATTAATTATGTATTTGTGTTAATATTCTATAGTTAATTCTTAAGTTGGTTCTAATTACTCATAAATAACATAATTTGCAAATGAAATATCATGATACTTATAGTTGGTTTTCTATATATTTTTCTCTAAAATATTTTTCAGAAAAATGTTTGTATTTGGATGTCAATTTAATTTATATGAATAAAAGTTGGAAAAAAAAAATGTCATGAGTTTCTTTACAAATCTCGGTAATAATTATAACTTTTAAGAAAAGCTACAAATGGTTTAAATGACATTTTAAAAATGTTATTGATGTCCTAATTTTCGTTTGTGAATTTCTCATATAGATATCTATATATAAATTTGATCGACTGCTCACTTTATGCACTTCACTTCACTTAACAATTATTTTTGTTAGGGTTAATTAAATTTCGAAAAGATATTTTAAACCCCCCTAAAATTTATGATAAATTGGCACTACTTTTTGTTCAATATTGAGAGATGATTAGGTTAAAAAAATAATAAAGTTTGGACATATATAGTAAACTCATCTTACTTTCCTAAATTGTGAGGGTTTTTTAAAGAATAAATCGAGTTATAAAATCAGAATACTAATTATACTTTTAATGAAAATAACATGATATGTTCTATAATATATAACATTATACACTAAGTAGATCATTTAGACTCAGGTAGTTCGTATTTAAATTAGACCTGTAGATCATATCAGAATATTAAATCTAAAGCATTCGACTATTTCTTCATTTTTATTATTTATTAAGGACAATATAATAAATTACCTAATTTCTCAAATAAAACTACTGAGAGATTTGAGTCGTAATAAAAGCTATTAAGATATAAGATAGAGCCAATAAATCAAACAGAAATATAAGTATACGCGCTTTCATTTAGACTCGAAAACTTGATCAATGAGAATTTCGAACAATAAAATATGAATACAGTCCATGATGCACCGAACATTTCTTCGTTTTATCGATCTTATTGCTAATGGTTTATGGCTCTAATGTCTGTTATTACATGGGGATGGGCTATATGTGGGTGCATCGGAATAAGGAGGCAAACCACTGAAGGAGGGTGCGTGGGTGATTCAGATGGTGGGTGGCGCTCTTCATCTTCTTTTTCGTTCTTCAAGTCCTCTGCCGGACCTTTTCAGCTCAATCTTGTCAGAGCCAGTCCGGTAGACGGCAATTGGGTTCTCTTTGTTACATTTCTGGAAGTTTTCCTTAGTACTTCCATCACATCGTGCATGGCGGTGTTGTATTGGAAAACTGCATAAAATGTTCACTCATAATAACATTCGAAAGGGACGGATCAAGAATTAATTTCAGAGAGGGTGAATTCAAAATAATTTAATATAAAAATCAGCAACGTTTTATATAAAAATGTTTTGAAAAAACAAAAAGTAGAAATATGAGGACGAATTAAGTAGGGGTGAGCATGAAAATATGTTCTACTCGCACTATATAAAATGACATACGGTAACACTAAACAGTAACAAAAGTGTTACCGTTTCTTAAAGTGTATCGTGACTATCTATGGTAACACTTGATGTAAAATGTTCGATAACAATTTTTATACGTAGCATTTTAACTTTTTGTAACACATTTTATGTCATGGTAACTATTTTTTTCTAAATGTTATGGTAACACATATATAAATATACCGCTCACTTCAGGAATATTTATATATGCACTTCAGGTGATAATTACTTTTACAAGGATTTATTAAATTTTCCAGAATATATCTGAAAACCACCTTGTTAATATTTTGTTAGAAATCGGTCATTAATAATATATTTGTTCCTTTAACGAAACCTAATAATAGGGATGTAAATTGTATTTTAATTTTAGTTATTAATGATATCTTAGAAAAAATTGCAATTAACTCTTATATAATTATTTATAAACATTGAAAATTTTATGTTAATTAGATTGGGACCGCCTTTCTGTTTCAATCATATAGATGAACATGTTTAGTGACGATTAGGTTAAAATAAATAAAATTCAAAGCTTAATAACAAGAGAAATTTAATTAATGAAATTTTCGAATCAATAATATAGAAATTCAATTCAGCGGTCTTTCTTGAACGTGAACCCAATTGGATGAATTTCAAATGGGTTATGGCTCTAAGCAATTGTCTTCTAATCCTTCTTCTTTTTTGGGGTTGGGGCTGATTTGGGTGCATTATAGTAAGGAAGCAAAATACTTGAAGGACCGGGAGCATCCGGCGCTGCCATTGGTGGATTTTTTTGGTTAGGATCAGTCTCAGGTGTTTCTCCAGCATCAGGCGCTGCAGTTGGTGAATTTTCACCCTAGGATCAGCACTTGGGTTCTTCGGTTCTTCCTCATAATTTTGTCAGGCTTGTAATCAACTACAACGCTTAACTTCTGTCCGCTTGGCAATGGCCGGGGTACTGCGGTGAAGAAAATGGGCCGGCTCCTCAACTCGATCTTGTCAGCGCCGGTGCGGTAGACGGCGATTGGGTTTCGTGTGTTGCATTGCTTGAAGTTTTAGCAGTCACTTCCCACATCGTGCGTGGGTGACTGCCATAAAATAATTAAGCAACAGATATAGATATAGAAATGACTGTCAAACGAGGGCACAAACAATCTACGAAGAAGATCTTTCTCCTTCCTTTTTTTAAGAAGAAAATTGAGAAAACCGATGTAGCATACAAACCTTACGTACAAAGAGTGTCAACGATGTTGAATTCTTGTCGGAAGCCCATTCATAGTAATCTACGGGAACTTTGCGGGTCCATCCAGGTTCATCACCGACCTTGTACTCGGCGGCTATGGCAACTCCACAATAGAAGCCAAGACATCATGACAAGACCCCTTGAAAATATTTGTTAATTCCATGGTTTCAAAGTTCAATATGTGAAGGAGAGTGAAGGTTTATTATTATGATATGGAAATGGAGTGATTTGATGAGACGCATTTATAATGAAGATCAACGTTAAGTTTCAGGCTCACTGTAAATATCGGAAAAAATATTAACATTCTAAAATAGTATCATTTTTCATTTGACTTGGACCTAATCAAGGCCGATTATGATTTAACTTATGAATGGCTTTTTATTATTTTGTTCGATTAATTGATGCCTTATATTTGATTCAATCGGTTCTCATTTCTAACACTAGGTTATTTAAGTCTCTCACATTCTTTTTCGATAATAATTTTTAAACTAATAAGCATTTTTTTGATAGTACACCCCATAAATTAAAAAGTCTCAGTGTTTGAAAATTGAATTATTGTTGAGAAATTATGTTATCACAATAATTTTTTATTTGCAATAAAAAATAATGGGTTTTCCGTTAACCGTTCTTGCTTAGGGTTTGAAATTGTACATTAAATAAGACTAAGCTATATATAAATATTGATCTATACGAGAAGGATGAAAAAGAAAAATCATTTTAACTAATGATATATTTTTATTTTCAATTCTTATGAAACTTGGAGTTGATTTGAATAAAAATACTATGTATAAGAATTTGGAGAGGAAATAAATTGTCGAACGAAAGCCAATTCAAATTTATCAAAAAAGGAAAATATAAGTATTGATGCAGAAATCTGCACACAACTAGCGAGATCCGATCGACCTTGTTTGGATCGAAACTGATGTGTGCGTGATTACGGATAATCAACGATATGAGTGAATGATAATGTCAAAAGTAAATGACAAAGAGAACTTTTAAAGGGGTTCGCGAAGTTAACAGCCTACGTCTATTGTGTTTTTTGTATATATTGTGAGAGCTTAAATGTAGTTTTTATCCAGAATTTGTGTCCCCTCCTCATCGTTTAGGGGTTTATATACAAAATTTACATAAAGAAATAGCGAAATTAGGAGATTACCAATGATTTGAATCACAATTCCATATCCTTCGATTAAGCGTTATGATCACACAATGAAACTGTTGATCAATCAGGATTGAGTAATCTGAGGATTGATTGATTAATTTCTAGGATTGTCGCGACGCTTGTGTGGGTCAAGCTACGGCTCGACGAGCTTATGCTAAGTCAATCAATCATAGTTGCGAGATCATTTGAGTGAGCTATATCCTCCGTTGCCGAGCTTGGGGAAAACCACACACACCAATAAGATGAGATTAGAGTTAACCAAAATATATATATATATATATATATATGTATAAAGAAAATATTAGAGAAGGGATTTGAAATGAATATAAATTATTCTAAATTAAAATTTTAAA